ATCAGATCCATCAGATGGGGAGCACACATTTTGCCCACATTATTCACAGTAAGATTTAGTACCGTACTCAAGCAAGGCCATTCCAAAACTTTCAGCCCAAAATACATTTTTTTGTTGGATGTGTGTATAAAATCGCTGCAATGCAGGAAAATGAAGTATCTCTGGTTTTTACCTTTCAATCAGACTCTTGAATGATTTGTATTAAATGTTATTTTAATTATTTTGGCACAAGTGGATATCATTTGTGAGCTAGTCTGGCAGGAAATAGAGTCAAGAAAAGGGGAAGAAAATATGCAGAAAAGTCAGTTGGCCTGGACTCTGATCTGTGACAGCCTTTTCGAAGGCTATAAGAGCTCAGTACAGGTCTTTGCTTTAAAGAAAGTTTGTGTTCAACCTGATATTTGAAGCTGTTTATCAACAGGGTGAGAAAAACAGCAAATTTTAATCTCAAAAATGTCTAAATTTATAACATGATACTGCTTCCCTTCAAGTTTCATTCTTTTGACTCTGCACATTTGTGTCAAACAGTGTTTTGAATTGTGACCTAAAACTTTACGTTTAGTACCTTTAGACCATAAGACCATAAGGTTTCAGAGGTTCTAACAAGCCCTGATGTTTTATTACTTGTCTCTAAAACTGAATTATCAGTCCAGATATATAGAGAATGCAGGAGACAACCCAAGACATACTCACTGCCTCATGATATAGATACAGTGCTTAGCAAAAGTGTTATTACCCTTTAAAAAGAAAGGGGGTTGTAATTAGGCAGTTTTTCTTAGACAGGTTTCTGAGACATTATTTATGTTTTTGTAGTAAGATATTCTTAAAATATACTTTTTTATTTGACCCTTTATGAATAAAAAAACAATTGATGAAAAGACACTTGACACTTAGGAGTTCAGTGTTGATGCATCTATCAGCCTTTTGCCTAATTTTCCTGAATTTACTTCGGGTCAGAAGTTCCTGTGCTGTTTGGCGGATCTGACGCCAAGCTCGTCCATGTTGAATGGATGCGACCTAACAAACAATGGAAGCGTTCTATCAATATGGATATGTGGACACTTAGAAGCTCAATTCAGACACCGATGACAACGCCAAGTAAGGTTAAAAAGAGTAAAAAAAAACAACTTAAGTAAAAGTGCAAGCCACAAGAATGAGAAGAAGATTGCTGCAGCTCTTTGTTTTTGGCCCCAGTTGATGGTATCATTAGACAACACTGTAATGCTTCTTTCTTTCATTGCATGATTGATTGATTGACTTTAATGATCCCACAGTGGATAAATGTACTTGTTACATCAGCTCAAATAGTCAAAAGAGAAGAAAAATGTGCCAAAGGAAGAAAAGGTACATGGGATATATACGCTATATACAGTGCGTCCACATATGCAGGTTTTTTTGTTTTTATATATGAAAGAAAACTTTTTTTTATCAAAACATCTAAAAATCTGCCATCAATATGTGTTCAACCCCCCTGACACGATACTGTACAGATCCACACTTCGATCAACTTGCAGCTGCAAATCTTTTTAGATATGTCTAAAAATGTACTAATGTTAAAGAGCAACTTCTGCATAATCTTTTTTTTTTTTTTATATACACTAAATCAGATTGGAAAGACTTTAATTGATAACTATCTATATAGATCTCTTTAGATGTAGGTCTTGGCCTCTTAAATGCATGAATATGCTAAAGCAGTTCATGGAAGCTTTTGTTGTAAAACTCTACAGTCAAATGATCACAATTCTGATATCTGCTGTCCTGAAATCATTTGAGCATCTTCTGCTGAAACATCTGAAAGCAATCACTTGCCACCTGCTGGACCCACTGCAATCTGCATACTTTGCAAACAGCAGAGAATACAGTCAACCCGGGTCTGGGCTTTCTTACACCATACCTGACATTGCTGGATTTTAAAATGTTGGTCAGGATTTTTGCTTTCCTGACCAACCGGCATCATGTTTCCACCTCCATGCTCAACAGATGGGACGGTGTTAATGAGGTTGAACTCATCCTTCTTCCTACAACAAACACAGCAAATGGAGTTGAGACCAAAAGGCTCTATTTTGTTTATCATTCCTTGCTGGGATCATCCAGATGGTTATTAGCAAACTCCAGACAATGTGTTGGTTTGAGCAGGTGGACCTTGAATGCACTGTGGGATTTTAATCCATTGCAGTAGAGAGTTACTAATGGTCTTCGCTGAGACTGTTGTCTGAGTACTCTTCTGGTCATTGACCGGTCTCCTTTTAGTAGTTTGGCACTGATCCCTCACCTTCCTCTTGATCAATGATTCCCCCACTAGGAAACATGGTGCACAAAGCCCCAAAACAAGGGAGATTGTCAGTTCTTAACTTCTTCCATTTTCCTATAATTGTTGCCTTCTCACTATCTGCTTACTCATTTTTCTGTGGCCCAATCCCAGCATTGTGCAGGTCTACTATATTATCCCTTTCTAGCCTATACACAGCTCTCTGGCCAGGGATCTTTTTTTGTTTGTTTTACAGATAATGTGTTCAGTCAGGTGCAGTTTATACAAGTTAAGAGTGAAAATCAGATCAGCTTCTTAAAGGTTAACTTTACAGGCTTGTGAAAGGCAAATACAAGTGGGAAAACCTGCAAAATACATGCCAAATTTCTAAGATATTTTTTGAGAAAGAATTTCTGAAAGCACATATGTTTTATTGTGATAAGGTTGTGGCAAAATGTGGAAAAAAATCGAGTTTTAAGTCCTTTTTCAAAAGGCTGTGTAGTTCTAGGAAGCTTGTTTCTGAACATGAGATGAGTGAATGCTTTAAATACGATTTAAGTGTGTGCAAAGTTATGTAGACAGGAACATTTTGACTGTTAACAGATGTTTTTATTCCACTAAGCTTTACAGGATAATTGTCACATTAAAGGTGCAAACAGCTTTGAAATGATTAATGATATTTTATTTTTTTCTCTCCTCACAAAAAAAGCAAAGACTTGGCATTTCAACACAATCGTACATTTCTGAAAACTGCAGTATTTCATGGATCTTAAGCAGGTACAGCTGGTGAGCTAAAAACATAGAAATTGGAATTCACAGAAAACTGATTCTCTACCAACCTAATGGGATTTATCTGTAATCTGTAAACTAGATTATAACTCTTAAATAAAGACTGTTTGGTGTTCGCAGAGATCTGTAAGTCATTTTAGGAAGGGTTCATACTGAAAGTGTTGTTTGCTTTTTCTTCTGATGATATTCTTTGGGACTTCAAGACAACTTGGGAACATGGGTTTTGATTTTAATCATGAGGAGATGATGTAAAGTGACAGGTTTTGTAAAGATGTGTGGAAAGCTTTAGCATTAAGAGCCAAATTGCACAAGAAGTCTTTGCTGCCTTAAAACAAAAAGGAAAATTGTTTTTCAGACACTTTTCCGGTTCAAGCAGAGTGAAACTCCCAGGAGTTATCAGGAAATCTAGTTTGTTGTCCAATTTGGTTTTGAGTGTGGATTTATTTGTGAATAGTTAATAAAGTTACAGCCAGAAGTTAACTTTCACTTATCATAGGGGATTCATCTTAGTAATTTAGAGTTTTATGTGAAGCAGGTGTTTTGTACATGGTAAAATGATAAAAAAAAAAAAAAAGGCCAAAGCGATAAATAAGGACTCTAATACAAATGGCTTTTACAAATGTAATAGTATATATATATATATTTTTATAAATTCTTTTACTGTGGGGAAAAAAAAATTTCTTTTTGAAATAGCGCCACATTTGTAAAGAAATTTAATTTGCGGTTTGAGTATCCAAGTTCAGTTTACTGGTTAAACAGCTTATTCTGTTATTGGCTTATTAGTAATCAGGATGGACTCTTGCAACTTGGGCACTATTTGACAAAAACTAAGGACAGGATGTCAGCTTTCTTCCATACCGCCTTTTGCTACAAGTCAGCAGACGTAGCACAGCTAGTTCCTCTGGTACAGGATGCCAAAATTATTTTAATGCCTGTTTTGCCTTAGCCTGCACAGAATAAAAGGCCACGCTGAAAGGTGCAGTTTTATCATTGAAAATGGCAAAATGGGCAAAAATGCCCAGACTTCCCGATCCACAGACAATTCCTCCAGCTGCTCTTGGGGGCCCCTGAGTCGACACCAGGCCAGCTCAGAGACATAGTCCCTCCAGCGTGTCCTGGGCCTTCCACAAGCCCTCCTCCCAATGGGTCATGCCTGGAACACCTCCTGAGGGATGCAACCAGGAGGCATCCGAAAAAGATGACCGAGTCACCTGAGCTAGCTCCTTTCGAAATGAAGGAGCAACAACTCTACTCTGACTCTACTCTGAGCTGGTGATAATATGTATGTAGAAAACGTTTAACATCTTTGAGTTAATCAGATAGAAATGGGAGCAAAACTAAAAATATTACTTTTATATTTTTGTTGAGTATAGAAGCCTCTGGTCCCCCAGCACCATTGGCAACAAAATAATGCTCAATCTGACATGAAATGCTTTAATGTAACCATTAAATCTAAAACTAAATCTATCTTTTGGTTATGGATCAAAAGATGTTATGTTCCTTCAATCAAAGCCTAATAAATGCAAACACTGCTGTAAACATAACTCACTTTTTACCAAAATGACCACTTACAGATTTAACGATGAAATGTGTTGCTGCGCAGCTTACAATAACTCTTGGCTGCCCAAGAAGAGGTTTGGAAACATCAACTGATTTTAATTGAGATCAGGCTTCTGAAATGGCAAAATACTAAAAAACATTCAAATAGATGGACTGTGGTTAACAGTTTTGTCAGCTCCAATATACCAGCCAGTTTAAATAAGCTTGACCAATAAAGTCCAGAGAAGAGTACATTAAGACTTAGGTCAGAAGTTTTTTTATTGGGTTTAGAAAAATATTTTTTTTCTGCAGCTTTATTTATTTACATAATTAATGCTGTGTGTATTTTAATTGTTCCACCAAATATAAACAAAGCTCAAAACATCATTTATTACACTTTATCCAGTGATGAATACAGGCTGTGTAGAAATAGACAGTCTAGGATATCATACCATAAAAGATCTCTGAGAGCAACAAAGCTTTCTGCTAAAACCAATGAGCATTGATAACAAAACAATCAAAAATAACACTATTATGATAATCTGTCCAAAATGGATTTCCTGACCATCTCTTTTAAAAGAACAGTAAGATGAAGGGTGTTCTAGGTATTCTGGGAAGGTCAAGTTCCTCAGTTGGGTAAAGCATTCGGTCTGGTTGATGTCAGGCAGTCTAACCATCATCTCATTTAAGACAGTCAGCCATCTGCTGTCGCAGCAGTTGAACTTATTCCCGCTGATAAACATTGCAGTCTGGTTTAAGGATAGAGTCTGAAGCAAAGAGCAGTTTAGGCTTGTAAAAGCATTGTTTCTTACATCGATTACTTTTAGAGAGGAGCAAGCTAAGCTGCCAGGTGTTTTATTGAGTCTGTTGTTTGATATGTTCAGGTTGGTCAGTGCGGGCATGCAGGGTAAAGATAGACCTGAACTGTTCATGCTTATCTCACTGATAATCAACGACTGTAATGTTGCTTGCACACCCTCCAGCGCCGCCTCGCCTATAACCATGTGATTGTTTTTGGCAAGATTCAAGGAAATCAGAGATGTTCCCTGAAAGGAGGTTGGCGGAAGTATCTTTATATCATTTTCTCTAAGATTGAGGTGTTTAAGAGTTTTTAACTGTCCAAATGCAACGCAGGAAGAATTGAGATCGAATATTTTTGGAAGAGATTTCATCAAAAAACCACATGGTTGCACTTGGTTTTCCTGCAGATTTAGCGTGTCGATTTGAGGGAGTGCCTTGAGGAAAAACGGGGAAACACTGGTGAGACTGTTCTTCTGCAAGTCAAGGCACTTTAAGGAAGGAAAACGAATCTGACGAACTTGACTCTGATTATGATAATTCCTAATGTCCCAGTTTATGTGTTGCAAACAGTTATGACTGAAATTCAGTGTTTCTAAAGAGAAGAGCAAGCTTAGTGTCTCAAGAGGAAAAGAAGTGAAGTGGTTAAAGCTCAGGTCAATGTAAGCCAGTGGCATTAGCCTCCAGTTTGCATGTAGATAATTCTTTCTATGTATTCTCTGCTTCATAATGTCCTGATAAAGAGAATTCACTTCAGTAACCATCACAGCCTCTGAACCCAGAGCACCAAGCAAATTATTCTGCAAGTAAAGATGCTTCAGTTTATTCAGTTTTGGTAGAATTGGAAAGTATAACAGCTTGTTGTGGCTGAGGTCAAGAACCTCTAGGCTGTACAATGCAGCATCCTCACAAGTAACAAAGAACTCCAATGAATTTCTGCTGAGATTCAAATACTTCACCTGATGGAGAGTAAAATCACAGATAGATGCAAGATTATTTCTCGCCAAGTTGAGCGACTCTAATCGGCTCAGTGGTTCAAATGTCTGCTTTTCTATTTCTGATATCAGATTATCTTCAATAATAAGATTCGTTATGCCTTTACTTTCTCCAAACATGCTGGGTGACAGTTTTATCAAAACATTTCCAGTCATCTTAAGTTGATCAAGAGAAGACTTGTTTCTCAGTAATAGTTCTGCAGCACTATTACTCAAGCCGTTCATCGATATGTCCAAACTCCTGAGTCTGCCAAGGGATCCGAGGGCTTTGCTGTTGCTTCCAAGGCTAACGCTCAATCGATTCCTGGACAAATTCAAGTGCTCGAGCCGGGCCAGGTTTCCAAAAGCCCCCTCCGAGATCAGATCCAGCTGGTTGCCGCTCAGGTCAAGCTGCTCCAAGTATGGCAGAGCAAGCGCATGTAGCTGTGTGATGAAGTTATTTGATAGATTGAGCCTTCGAAGCCTCACATCCAGATCCAGAGGGACAGAAGAGAGGTTCTGGTTATTCCAGGACTGCTTCTTGAAATGAGATGAACATTAATCATGGCTAAAATAACTTACATAACCCAAATAAAGCATGAGGTTGAACTAAAAGCATCCCTTTTAAGGATTGCCATTGTGCCTACCTTTGAATGATGAGTCCATCCAGGTCTGTACAGACCATAGGTGATTGACCAGACAAGTATGAGATTAGAGAATATATGTCTAACCATGTCTGCTCTGCTATGCTGTACTACTGCTGTTGTTAGTGCGCAGACACGCCACCTCTTATAGCCATGCTTCATGAAAAAAAAGAAGAGGGTAAACAGCTGTGGATGCCAGATAGGGACGATGTGGCAACTATTTTTAGATGGAGTCATGTCACTTTTTAATAAAATGGAGGAAAACATTTATAAAGTAAACTCAGTGGATATATATATATAAATGTACTTCCAACATAAATCCTCACATTTTTGTCAGTTTTTTGCAATTAAGATACAATAAACACATTTAAAAAGGTTAAACAATAAGCATGAAAATGACATAAAGTGGTTTTATACAAACATCTTTAATTTTTTGAGACATTGTAGTATTTACAGTGCATTGAGCAATTTTGTTTCAACCAGGAAAAAGCTTTACAAAGCACTATAAATTTATACATTTATTTGTTCCTGTCAAAGTCCCTGGAAAACGGAAATCAGTCCTAAAATAGAGAAGAGGAACAAATAAACAGACAACGCGTTGGTGGAGCAGGAAGGACCGGTGAGGTATAAAGGGACGCTCTGAAATAGAGTGATGAAAGGACCTGGTCAGACAAAAAAAGAACAGCAGGGGAGGAAACTAAACAGGGAAAAAGGCTTAAAATAGACATTTTAAAGGATAATAATATTTTTTTTATTTGATTATCAGTAAAAAAAAGGTGTAGGTATCCATCAAGTTTTTTTTTTCTTTTATTACAGAATTTTAATTTCACACTGAACACTTTCCTGACATTTCAGGGAAAACACCCCATGATGAGTAGTAATTGTCTTTTATACTTTAGTTTTTTATTTATCTTTGGTTTTTTATCTCTACTTTCTTATTTGACCCATATATTTTACCACAACACACAGTAAGCACAAGCATAAGGTGAAACAAATACAAAAAGTTTGAAGAACTGCATCTAAGTATGGATTCTTTGAGCCCCCAAGCTTAATTGCAACCTTTTCACGGCGCCAACCTGGTTAGAATATAGCAAAACGATATTCTATTTAATCTGAAGAGATAATGTTTGAATTGTTTCATCTAGAGGGAATAGGGTGCATGCATGATGGCAGGAACTATGACAAAAAAAAGATGATTTCATATTAAACAATCATTTCCTACACTGAAATTGTGCACAATGATACAATAACATTTGCAATATGTAGAGCAGATATTTATTAATTAGAGGTTAGCCAAGTCTTATCAACTCTCTAACAAGGATTGAGCGCTTCCAAATGGAAGACAAGTTTTGTCTTACTGGTTTAACTCCAGGTGGGGTTGGGGTAGAACAAAGGATGAATATGTAGAAAATCATGACATTTCTGTTGTAACGTATGTAGGAAGGTCTGTGGTGCTGCGGGCCTGCATCTCGTTTTACAGTAAGACCCTGTGAACCTCATCAAAGTGCACAGCTTAATGCATCCTTTGAAATTAGGTTACTGTAAATAAAGAAAATATGATGACATCAATAAAGAAAATGTTACAGAGACACACAATCAGCATTCCTCCATTCATTACAGTTATTCTAAATGGACAATGTGCGTGGACAGCAGAACAGGAGAAAGCATTCAGGGCTGAATAATCAAACGTTGTCAACAATTCCCCTCTCCATATTTTCAAAACATTGTCAAATCTGATCTCACATATGGAAACAGTTCTTTTTTTCTCTTTACACTAGACAGTTGCTGAAGTTAAAGGCTCGGCTAATTCTTCCATAGAGATAACCTCACTGTAAAGCTTTTTACACTTCCTTACTATCAGTAAACGGTCAGCTTTCAGTACACGTAAATGTATCCAGCTGTTTTCCTGTTGCTGATAGCGGTTTATCACAATCCCTTCACACAGTTCAGTGTCAGCTTCCCACTTCCTGCAGCAACGATATTTATTCACTTGGGCTTTTTTCAGTTGAGCTTTATGACACCAAAAAATGTTGAGTCAGCCTCAAGAGAGATGAGTGCAGATGGCCGAACAGGGATCACCATTTCCAGCTCTTCTCCCCGTAGCAAGTGCACAGTGCCTGTAAGAAAGTATAAATATGAAACCATTCGTATGAATTAAATCCAAAAATACTTTTTATATATTTTTTGTAATTTCCGTTTTTTTCTGGAAGAAAAAAAAAAAGATAAAAAAAACCAGACGTATCATTTCAACCTAATTAGTCTGGAAAAATTCTTTGAATATTGCGGGGACCTGCTTTTTTCTTATAGTTCAAAAGTTCAATGTAATTCAAAATATACATTTCTGTTTTTGGTTAAAATAAGTTCCTTAAACTTGATCATCACACTTAAAACTATATCTTTAAAACTAAAATGATCTACCTTGCATTTTTTATGATATATATGTATATATGTATTCAATGTGTGCTTTACATTGCAGAAATTAAAACTATGAGTACGTCTTTTTTAAAATATGTTATTTTCCCCTTGGTTTAAGCAGGGAAGGAATAAGGAATAAGATGATTTTTGTTGAAAACAAGAAAAATAACCCATTATCTTATTTCAAGTGCTTAATATCAAACTATCTTATTTTAAAGGAAAATAATACCCACTGGAGTGGTTAATTGTGATATTAACTTTTTAAACTAGGGGTAAAACACTTATTCTAAGAAATCTACTTATTTTTAATAAGTTTTTGCTGTGTATTTAGTGAGAACCTTTGAATTTTATAACTTAACCACAAACCGTCTCTGTGCATATTTTTAACTCTTTCTGGATTCTTTTATAGATACAACAGCAACTTTACCTTTTTGAATAAGACATTTGTTTATATTTCTGTCATTTTACCCAAATATATCATATTACTGTTGGTCTGACATGGACTCGTTCCAAACAGAGGCTACATGGGAGGATGTATGTTTGAAGATATGCATTTCAACACACATTAAATTGTTTAGTGACCCCATTTGCCCATTTTGGGACTATTTGTTATTATTCCCCACATTTCAGTACAGCTAGTTAACATGTGAGGGAGTGCTGAGAGAGAAGCTGATGCACACAGACCTACAAAAGTACAGGTTAAAGGAATAGCTTCCATTTTATAGGTAAAGGTTTCTTGCCTGTTTAGTTGCTAGAATTAAAATAGCAGACAATTGTAATATATAAACATAGCATGCTCCATTTTCCGATTCCTTACTTTGATATTAAAACATAACTTCTATGATTAAAGTTACGCTCCTGCAGGTAAGAATTAAAATTAAACATGCCTAAAATAACGTCCCTAAAAGTATTAGGGACGTTATTTTAGGCATGTTTAATTTTAATTTCAAGGTTTCAAGGTTTCCTGATCTAAGATTGTACTTGGAAAATAAAAGTTTGAATAATAGCATTTTAAAATATGTAGATTTAATTTGATTCATAACTCATTTCACCCTAAATCAAATTGAACATCTAAGACACCTTTTTAGGTATAATTCCTCCTCTAAATACAAACGATTGCCTTTCTTCCTGACTTAGTTCTAGGCTGTAAAGCGCCATGTAGCCAGAGCAAGACTCCTTTAATAAATATTTCATCTGGATTAGGTTTAAATTGACTCCCATCATGGTTTCCTTGTTTCCAACTGAAGAATTGCTTGGGGTTATAATATTTGAGATAGCTTTTTCTAGCAGCAAAACTTTTAGTTTCTGTACAGTTTTACTGATTTTACTCTTTGAATGAACAGGAAGCTCTTTTAAGGTGTGATTTTGTTTAACATCTGAAGCAAAAGGATATTTAAATTTAGATCATATTATATTAAAGAACTTTGGAAAGAACCTAAACCTCCTCATTGGGTCTTACAATCCACATTGTTATTTTTATTTCAATAAGGATACATTTTTTCATGGAAAAAAAATATATATATATTTATATATATATTGTTTTTTTTTTTTTTTTTCTTGTGTCAAGAAGTCCCTAAAAGTGGGAATGAAAATAAAATCTGAAAACATCTGAAAAGAGCTATGGTCAGTAAAAAGATATATATATATATATATATATATATATATATATATATATTTTATTTTTTTTCACAATATAAACAGAAAGAATTAAATGGTTGATATCTTGCCATAAGATTGTGACTTTACAAGAAGTATCAGACTTGTGATTCGGTCATATTTGGGGCATTCTGACATTTTGGAAAGCTCAGTGGTTCCCTTTTACAGTAGAGTATTACCAGTTAGCCATTTGCAGAAAATCATCCGATCATTTGATATCCATGCTTTAAAGTCATTTGGTTTGCTTGGTTTTAATTCTAGTTGATTGGGTCATTTAGTTTTCTTGTAACTATTTATGGTTCAGGGTTTATTGGGATTCTTTGTGTTCTACTTTGTGTAAAGCACTTTGGTCAGTGGGAATAAAGGTTTTAAATGTACTAATAAATACATTTCGACTAAATGTCAGACCAACCCAATTTATCAGTTTTTATAAATCATAGTAATGCTTAATGATGTTTAAATGCAGCAGTTGTGGCTCTGACCTGCTGTGTAGCATGTATTGTCCTCAGCTCCCTCTTTTATATCCTGCAGGCAACGCAAGAGCTCTACAGGTCTGGTCTCTGCCTCAGTAGAGCTCCAGCTTTGAATGACATGACCCATAACTGTGCTTTGACTTTCAAACAAAACCTGCGAGTTGAGAAGAACATTAGCTTGGAACAAATCATACGCAATATCAACTTAGTTACGCTGGATTTAGAATGATACAATACTTGTCCAAACACCAAGTAATAACCATCTTCTTGGACAACGATCCTATTTTCTCTCTGTGAAATTGTATTTCCTCGCTGCGCAGAAACAGTCCAGGGGATCACCGTTATATTTCCTGGGGGAAAAGGAAAGACACATTTATTCAAAATAATGGCAGAAAGGAGCAGGGCCGAGGCCAAATTTTTGAAGTTAGTTTTACCTCTTCTGTCTGGTTGTTTGCTAGCGATTGCTCTTAACTGCAGGAATGATGTGGGAGCTGGCAGGAGAGGTGGACAAACATCATGCTTTAATTCTATTAACTCTGCAGATATCCTTACTGATCCCACTACCACCAGATTACACTGTAAAGCCCAACATCTCTAAAATCTAACATCTCAACATATACATGAATAAAGTTAGTAATAGTCAGATAACTGGACTTTATAACGCTCAATTTTTCTAAAAAGTATTTTGCTTTGAAAAATATTAAACTTTTGGACATGTTCTGAATTTCCATGGAGTTTATTTATAATACTTATAAAGTACTGTTGAAATTTTAGATGTTTGTTTTTTTATTTGTTTTTTTAGGAAAGCTTGATGTGCTCAAATGAGTGAAATGTTTTATGAAGCCTAGGTGGAAGTTCAACTGAAGAAACTAAACCTGCCTCTGACACATCCACAGTTCATCTTAAAAGGTCTTCAAATCCACGACTCAGTCTGCTACCCAGCCAATCGCAAGCAGTGGTTGAGGTATGTCTGATTTTTAATCAGATTATCTCGTTTGAACCCACCTTCATCCCCTTCTCCACCATGGTAGCTAAGCTCCATCTTCTTTTCCATGGTGCTTCTTCAACTTTGTCCCTTTCAGAGTGTAATTCCTGCTGGACTCTTACTGATTTTCCCATCTCATCTCAACCAGTCTGGCAGAAGACCACCATATTGAGCCTGGTTCTGCCAGAGGTTTCTTGCCAAAAGGGAGTTTTTCCTCTCCACTGCCTCTTCATGCTTCCTCATTATGGACAGGTTCATGCAAACCTGTGTCGTCTCACAAACCAGCAGTCTATGGACTGACCAACTTCAACTATCTCCACTCCACCAACAGTTTCAGGCCTGGGGGGGAAACATCCCTGTTCTCATACACCTGATTATGCATATTAAAGTAAAAGTCAGGGCTAATGTTTCCTGCCGAGGTCTGAGCACCAAAATGTTAAAATAATTATAATATTGTTATAATTATTTATGCAACAGATCTTCATGCTTGGTGAGGCTACTGGCATTTTTTTTTCTGGACACCAAAATAAATAAATAAATAAAATGAATCCATCCTACAGTCAGCGAGGTCAAACTATGTTCACTCAACGTAGGAACCGAGATCTTGTTTGGCTGATGAATCATTAAATATAATATGTTGTAAAAATGCAGGTTTATGGAGCATTATACCATTAGAAAGTCCTATTTTTATTCCATTATACTGATGATGGTCAGAGGGCCTAGTGACACCAGTTTATTGCTGTTAGTGAGCCTCCTAGCATCTGTGGCTATACTGTAGCTTGCCACCATCAGTCTGTGCGTCTGACTTGAAAAAGCACTGTATAACTACGGGGCATTTACCATTTACCAAATTTATTTTTATTATTATCATGTCTATATTGTTCTTGTCTTTTTTTAATAAATCTGGAAAAGTTTAATAAATGAGTCTTGTTCTGCTGGAGATTTCTTCCTGTTAAAATTGAGTTTTTCTTCCCACTGTCGCTACAAGCATGCTTAGTCTGAGGGATTGAGTTGATGCAATCAACTGGATTTCCTTAGATAAAAAACTTTGAATTAATTTGACAGGATAATCTGATGAATTCTAAATTGCCTTGAGATGACATATGTTGTGAATTGGTGCTATATAAATAAACTAAATTGAACTGAATTAAATTAATTTGAAAGACTATTTAACTTTGAACCCTTTAAAATGGCTCAAGTCAGCTAAAACAGCCAACATCTGACAGATCACTGAGAATAATAAAAATCAGCTGACCCTTTGAGTGAACTTCACTTAAATGTGAAGATTATAGCAACAATGAAAGCTTGACAGCAAAACTATTTCAGAAGAAAAAGAAAAAAAAATGTCCATACTTTCCTAGGATTTTCTCAGGGAAATACCAGATGCCTTCCCTCAAACTTTTACAGAACTTTCATGGATCTTAAAAATGTACTTTTTATAACCAGGCTGCAGTATGTGACTCAACAGGTGCTTTCTGAAACTTTCCATAGAATCACATAAAAGCTCAGCTGAAGCTCCAGGAAGTATCTGGTGACTTCCATGAAAAGGATCAGAAAGTATCTGTGAAGGTTCCTTAAAGAATCTGCAGACATGACTACTTTTATGAAAACAATGCAGGACATGTGAATCAGTTTGAACATTTCTAACTTTACTCATGTCTTAAAAGTTAATAAACTGACAAACGGTGACTATTTTAGACAAATCCTTACTATTTAGTTTTTACAGTGCAGAACACAACTAATAAGCAAAGTTTTCTGATTTTAGTTTTTTTTTTTTTTGTAATTTGGTTCTAAGCTCCAACCCACCTCTGCAGCTGCTCTGCTCCCTTTTAACTCTCCCAGAAAAGCTCTTCAGAGAACTCTGAGCTCTTTGGAAAACACTTTGCTTCATGTCCTCAGAGAAAACAAAGCATTAAGAGAAAATTTATTATTGCAGAACCATTTGAATGCTCACTAATAGCATAAATCTCAGAAGTATGGTGTCCAAGATGACGGCATAGTGCGTAATCATTGACATACCTCACTTGTTTTAGACATCTTGGCCAATTTCCCGTGGACTCCCTCAGAACGTTGTTGATTCAATTGCTGACTTATGTCCCCTTGGAGTTTGTAAAGATCTCTTTCTAAAACTCTGACCCTGTACACGAGGATAAGGCTAAGACAAAACATGATCGCCGTTAGTGAGAATAAAGCGTTATAGAGCATAATAAGACCTGCTGACTGGATGTTCCTCCAGCTACTCAAAGGGGTGAGGTCGCACATCAGTGCACGCCGGAAACCTGCAGTTTCAAAATGAGTTTCTAAATGAGGAACTGTCCTCTTAGAGATGGAACTCATTTAAACACTGGTGAAATTACAGCGTGTTTTGAAACTCTCAGACAACATAAAAAGCCACATTTTAATAAAGACAAAGCCCTCGCTTGCACAGCATCATTTATCCTTGTCAGCGCTCATGCCAGCTCCGGCTGATGTGAAAAGGGAGGTTTGAAGCCTTTAAATGAACACCGCCGGCTGCACGAACACAAAAGACGAGGGAGGCGCGCTTAGGCAGAAAATGAAAACATTTTAATCCATCAATCAACTCCATTTACAAAAGTATATTCCATTTATATATACATTATGTACAGGCGTGTATTAACAACTTGTTACTCTACATGGATTCAGTCATAAGGCAACTAATCAAAAGCACTTTGGAAACATATCACCGGTATTCTGCAAGGAGGCTGTAGTGCAAATGTGTGCAAAAAAAAAAGAAAGAACATTTTTATATATATAGATCTATATATAGATCTATATATATATATACATACACACACATACATATATGTATATAGTGCTGCTGCTCTTTGAATACCTTCCTCCTTCTTTGCACCATGTGGAGTTTTCAACCCAACTCTTCATGACTAATAGTAAAAGGCTTAAATAATAAAAAGAGGAACCAAATCACGAAATCACAAAAACAGTCCCTCATTTAAAGTACCCTTTTTTTTTTTTTTTTTTTTACATTACTACATTACAAACACAAACTTTAAAGCTTTTTTTTGATGGGTCTACACAAATTAGCTGTGAAATGGAGGAAAAATAAAAGATATTCAATTTTCTACAAAAATAAAATGCATATTTGCATTCAGTCCTTCCTTCTGTGATACCTTTAATTAAAATCCAGTGCAACTAAATGTCTTTATAACAACTTTGACTGGCAAACAAAGTTCAGCTGTGGTTAATTTGATCTCAGCTGTAATCTGAAGGCCTCAGAGGGAGTAAAATAACAGAGGAGCAACAGGAAGAACAGACGGGTCTCGAATCAAATTGAAGTAGGGTTAGGTTATAAAACAATATCCAACACTTTAAACATTTCAATACATCATCTGCAAACAGAGAGTATGGGCCAACAACAAACCCACCATGGTGTGGATGTTTATCTAGAACGGGGTCTGCAGCCTGCGGCTCTGTAGCCAGTGGCTCTTTGGTCCTCTTATAATGGCTTTTAATCGTGGCTAATAATAATAATAGAGAACCAAACAGTTTTTTTTTTGAGTACACTAAAAGAATAAGTGCCAGTTTTAGAAGCTTTAAGTACAACATCATTGAATTTCCACAACAGCCTGATATCAGAGGAAACCAATAATATGGTTTAAGATATTTTTTTACATTACCTTTCAATCTATGTGCTTTAATTTTAAATAATTTTCCATAGATAAACATCCAGAAAATCCATGTTTCCTTTTTTTCTGCAACAGATTGATGTTTTCTTTATTTTAAAACCTAAAAATACAAATGAAACATCAGTTCTTAGAACTGGAAACACATTTAATAGCAGATATTTATTTAAAAAGGAATTGTCTTTTATCAAAACGTCATGTGATATCTGCAGCTACTGTATAATCAGTTCTTCAGCTGCATTCAGGCTAAAATGGCCCTTTGGATTTTGAAGTATTCAGACCTTTGATTTAAACTAATGAAGAGCACAGGAAGGCACAATAGGTTCATGATAACTCTGGAGGAGCTGCAGAGGTGCGAATCATAGGAGGAAGAATCTTGCCAAGATTAAACTTCAAATCTAGATTCAAACCTTAAACACTATGAAAAAAAAAATCAAACAACCTAAACGTACCATTTAAAGGTAAAACCCCGCATTGGCAGCGTTATACTGTGGAGATGCCATTTTTGTTCCAGCTGGGACAGTTAAAAATCATACATCTAATTTCCCTTTAGGATCAATTAAGTATTTTTGAATTATTATTGAATGTATTTGAAATAAATTGGTTAGAGTTGATTAGAAGATGGATAAATCTAAATACAGGGCGATCCTGCAGGAAAAACTGGTAAAGGGTAACAAAAGACTTGAGACGAGGGCAGAAGTTTTACTTTTTAGCAGGAAAACTGCTAAACTAAAGCCAGGACTCCAGGAATGGGTCAGAGATAATATATATCCACAGTCCAGTCAAAGGACGGACCTAAATAAAGCCAAGAAACCGTGGCAATGCTTGAAAACTGATAGTCTGAGATGTCTTTTTGTTTCTTTTATTTGCAAAGACAAATGAGTCAAACCCTTAAACTAAGTGGGGTCAGCTAATAGAAACATAACCAAAGCCAATTTTCAGTTTTTTTTATTTGTAAAACAAATATTCAACTAACAATTTTCCTTCCATATCAAAATATTGGAACACTTAATTTGGGTCGATAATCTAAAATATATTGATGTTTAAGGTGATAAAATGAGAAAAGGTTTGACAGGACATGACCCCTTAATATTGCTTCTAGGCACAGCTGTGTTTTCTGTAATTTAACAGCACTTAAAAGTATGTAATTACTAAGTACCTGTCAGCACACAATCCTTCCTTGTTATAAGAGATTGCTGCAGATAAAGGTTGGCTATAAATAAAAGGATGAGGATATTTGGTTCCAAAAGGCCGATCTCTTCTGCACAGAATCACACGGAAGGGAAGCACTGAAGTCTTTAGAGTCTATTTGAAGCAGACATCTGGAAGTGAACAACAGTCAGTAAGGCACTCCGAGTGTCCTCTACACATTGGCCTTGAGCTGAACCCTGCAATCCCTCAGACAGGATGAAAAGCGTCTGCAGTTAACCGTTCTGTCCAGCAGATGGAGCCTCTCCAAGCCTCACACTGCCCAGGAAGGTGGTGTGGTTGGTCATGTTTATGAGTGTGTACTCGTGGGCTATGCGTATGGAGATCTTCTGGCCCGAGCGCAGCTGGCTCACCCCGGCTGTGTAGCAGGTGTTGAACTTGCGCTGGCCCGTCTCGATGCTGCATGTGCAGCGTAAGAATGGGCTGGAGTCGACCATTACGTCATAGCTGGCGATGTCAGTGAAGTTGAGGTAGTATACCTGGTGGAGGGGGTGCGAGACAAACAAAAACACAAACACTGAGAGGGATAATCGAAACAAGTGCTGCATGAACATTTAGGGGTTTCCTGAAAGCCTAAACAGCTGCAGCAGCAGAGGCAAACTGAGCTACAGAAGGGGAAAATAATGACTCACGGGAAGGACATTAAGCATGACATCTATCAAGATCAAATAACATTTTCTACTGTCATTTCAAAGGAGTTACGTCAAGGACCGTACTCACTTCTACCTGACTATATATGAAGTAGACACCGTCGAGCAGCACCACCAGCTCTCCCGTGCGAGGGTTCATCCTGAACACGTCTTTATTGATGGACACCATCTTCCAGTTCCTGAGGACGCCTTGAGACAAATCTAAACATGTCACAACAAACACAGGGCGAGACAAACGGTCAAGATAAACAGCTCATGGCTGCGTTTTAACGAAAAACAGATCTTGGCACTGACAAGAATATAAACCTGCTTAATGATGCTTGTTCTCCGTCTCAGGAGCAAGACTGAGTTAGCATGCAAAGCTTTAGGTGGCATGGCTGGTGTTTAATCCAGGGTTACATGTGCTAACATGAAACAGTGTGTTACTGATCAAATATTCCACCTGCTGCTAAATATAAGCTCCATTTAACTGCATTTAGCAGGGTTCCTACAGCATAAGGCAAGTTCAATTCAAGACTTTTTAATGCCACTTGAAATAAAAATTAAAGATCAAATTCACAAGAAACACAAGAAAAACCCACTTGCGACAACTTAACCCAAAGGTTTATTTTAAAATAAACTACTGCGCTAATGTTTTAAATTTTGAAAAGCTTCCCATACAGGAAGAAAGCTAAAAACACACAAATGACAGATATATTTTAACAATTATTTAATTGAATTCACAAACTTTGTTTTAGCAGGGAACAAAACAAATCAGTTTTAAAGCCACAACATAACCAGTGCTAAGTCTTTTTTGCAGCTATTTTTCTTTGTATCGTTTTCTTAGTACGTTTGATTTGGTGATAAGTGGAGGCGTTGCAGAGACAAGGGTGGAACTAAACTGAGAAATACCGGCTGTTTCTCGGTAAATCGATTTTGACGCTTTGTGTTTCGTGCTTCGCATGCGACTCCACTGCCTTAATTCCCATCGTTCCGAGCTTGAATGACTTCTTGCACAAAATCCACTGTTCCTAATGTATGTTCCCTGGTTTTAGCCATGGAGAAAACTCTTGGCTGGATAACCAATTTTCGTTACATTTACACTTGCTTACATTTACAACGCTTTTATTGGTTCCGCTATCGGGACGGAACCAATAACAGCGAGCCGTTATTTTTTTTTTTTAATTAAAAAAAAATTCAAATTTTAATGTTTTATTTAGATTACAAACATAAATCGTAATAAAAATGACCCTATATTGGATGTTTTAAAAATTAAGACCTACAAAAGACTGATTTAAGACATTTTAATACCAATTAAGGCCTTAGTTTTATTTTGAAGAATTCAATGCCTTTTAAGACTTTTTAGGGACCCGCTGGAACCCTGATTTAAGTATCAATTCTTCTGTAGGAGACGGCATTTGACCGCTCCAATCCATCTTTAAGGAAATTTCTCCTCTGCTGTAGTCTTATTGTGACCTCACAGTTTTTCTGTCGTACCAATTCTGGCTATATCATTAAAGTTTTTATTTGCTAATTAACTTTGGACAAACTTTATGCTTGGGCTCCTCATCTCCAACGTTCTAACAGAGGCCTTTCTAGTTTCGCCAAAACTGCTACCGGTAATAGATTTAATTTCCAGTCAACCCCAGATCATGATGCTGCCTTCACCATGTTTAACTTTTGGTATAAGGTTAATTTGGAGATTAAATTGTTGCCTGAAAGTCCACTTTGTCTTATTTCAGACATGTTCGACACGGTTTCGGAGTTTTTAGTTAAACTTGCAGGTTTCTTTAGAGGAAAAAAAGGCAGCTGTCATAAATTCTCCTTTTTAGTCCTGATTTACAGAACATCCATAGCATTGTTCTTGGACGGACTGCTTAGTGGAAATGTAGTCCATCTCTTGGCAGCGTCTTTCACTAGTTTCTGTTTTGATTTAATTCGTTTTGGAGATATTTTGAGCTTTTATACTCTTACCATTCCCCCTTTTTCTTTCCTCCAATAACCCAAGATTTTCTTCGCTGTGAGCTCTTTGCACTCTTCTCCTGACTGATATCTTTGTACATTATATTAGGTTATAGATGTGGACTATTGTGCAACAGTATATATTTTCTTGTGCCATTTTTCCTTCCAGCAGATCGTTTTGTTTTTGCATTTTTAAATAAACACAATTTTCTCTTGCATCACACAAACTTAAAATTTTAACAGCGACTTGGAAACTTTTGAGAGCCACTGTATTTCCATGTATAGCATCTTCAGATGTGGCGTCCTGCATCTCTTGAGCGAACCATCAAAGGCATGCCAACAATCTAAAGAAATGTCATTTGTTTTCTTGTAATTCCGATGTTTGGCAGACCCGCCTGTTGGTATAACTCCAAAATTGTGTGTTTGACAAACAGCACTGACAGGGATAATTTGTGCTTATTGCTTTGTGTCAAACATATCCCTGAATGAGCATGAGCAAGGCACCCACCTTCCCTCACTTGGATTGTTGTTTCTTGTCCTTGTAAGTGAACCACTGCCGGCTGGAAAACAAAGATCCCAGGTGAATTATTTGCAAAGGGGTCAGCTAGCCCTTCACCGACAATTATATGAAGAATATAATTCAATTCAAAGGAGGGAGGCGGCGTGCTCTTACCTGGAATCTCTTTGACTTATCAGGAACTCCTGCACCAATAAAAGACAGACATGATTAAAAAAAATCCTGCAGTTCAATGCTGGAAAGAAACAAAAGGAGGAACTTTGATTAAACAAAACAAACACTGACATAGTTTAAAGATAAATCACTGCTATTCTGCACAATGTTTGACAACCTGAATCAGACAGCCTCACTGTGGAGGCAATGAGTTAATCAAATTTGACAACTTGAGCCCCCTTTTAGTGTGGGAAAGTGGCTATGTTCTGGAGGAACCCTGTAATCTAGGTGGAAAATCTCTCTTCTCGGTTCATCTTGGCGAGTCTTATACCTGCCGGACCTTGAGCGCCTGGTGGTCCCTGCGGCCCTGGGGGCCCAGGAGGTCCTGCAGGCCCCACAACGTTGCTTCCTGGAATACCCGGGATCCCTGGGATGCCCGGTGGACCCTGTGGCCCTGGTGGCCCCGGGGGACCTGGGGGTCCTGGCATAGGCCTTTTCCTCCCTGAGAAAAATAAAAGTCAGTCAAATATAGTCAGAAATAAAACACACTAATAACTTGCATGACCTTAAAGTGTGTAATAATAGAAAGAAAGATGAGAGCAGAAAACATTTCCTGTTAGAAAGAACTATCACTGAAATAGCAGCGCAACACAGTCTGGTGAAAGAACGGTTACACTGGAAAAAATTTAAATCTATATTTTAATTTTTTTCTTAAAATGACTGCATTTGATCTTGAATTGAGGTAAGTGAGATATTTTGTGAATTAAAAAAGACAATTTAGATTTAAAATAAAAAAAAACAATTGCATTGTCTTATTTCAAGCGCATATTATCTAATTATCTGATTTTAAGAGTGAAAATACTGTTTTCATTGGCAAATCATCCTATTTAATTCTCAGATTAAGGGTCAATAAACTTAATTTAAGAAATGTTGACTTATTTCTAGAATTTTTTTCCAGTGTAGAACCTCAAACCCTACCGTATTTATATGTAATATTACAGACCAACACAAAGCAAGTTAGAAGCCAGAGAAAAATGACACACTGTTTTCAAAATTATTAATAAAATAAGAAACTAAACCATTTTAAAAAGTGACAAGTTTAAAAATCTACTCCAGAATATGTGGGAAAAAAACCTGAAACAAAATCAGTTTACATATTTTAGCACAGATATTCATAATATTTAGTTCTGGACATGTTTAAATGTAAAACTTATCTAGACTTTGTTTTTAGTCGTGTCCATTCTTCAATTACCCCTCATCGGCTTTTTTTTAGCCTTTGGAGTCTCTTTGTTTCATTGCAGGGATGAACAGATGTGAGTGAAGGTTTGTAAAGGTTAAGTTTTGGTTTTATTTAATCAGAGCATCTTGTTCCACATGTCTATCTTTTCTCAAGACTTTTTTTTTTTAAAAAACAATTGCATTTATATTGTTACTCTTCCTTGAAGGCCGGCTTTGTAATTTTGTGGCAATCTTGACTGCGGGGTGTTGTAGTTTAGGAGGAAGGCCTCGAATTGGTACATTTGCAATTATTCTATACTCTGTCGATGTTTACGAAGGATAAAGCAGAGCTCATTGAGATGCTCAAAGGTTTGTATGATGAGTTACACCTCAACGTTGCTCGAAACCGCTTTAAGTTTCAATCCCTGAACCGTCTGCTTTGTTCAGTGATCTTTGACCTCTGAGGCCTCGTCAGAATGACTGTATTTGTACTCACTTTAAATCACATATTGGTAGACTATTCATCAATAATGTGAATTTTGGAGAGAACTGGTTGTACTCCATTTTATTAAGAAGTAGGAAACATAGCAGAACAGACCACATTTTTTAGACGTTTTTGTAAAAAAGCTTTCCGAAACAATAAGGGTTTCAACTTTTTATAGGTCTGGGCACTGTACCAGCTGGAAACACATGATATGAATTATCTATAACCAAAATAAAAGCGGGGAAATACCTTTTTTCTTGTCTTTCCGCTTCTCCTTCCCATTTGATTCTGAAAGAAAGAAAAACAGCTCGATTATTCACAAAAATGGCATCCCCTGGAACAATTACCGTCTCGGATAATGTCCCCAAAAGGTCCTGCCTCTTTCCGTGCATGTAACCTAAACAGGCTTAAAATACCAGATCCAGACGATGCGCGGCGAAAACTCGCAGGAGTGGAAGGTATGTCAGGCTGCGGTATGTCGTGGTGCAGTAATTTGTAAGTGCGGTTTCACCTCCTCTGTATGAACAAGTGCCTAAAGCATTCGCAGGCAGTGGAACTGGAGAAGATCATTAGAGAGATACTTTATCCTGCCAAAATCCTTTTCTTTGAATCAGGTCCAGATGGAGGATGCAGATGAAAGTGTGTGTACATGTGAGCTTGTGTTTGTTTAAACATGCATTCCCACCCCAATCCCCCCGTGCCCCTGGTTGCTATACTGCGTGAGGCCGTGCATGCTTGGATGCTAACTGGGGCAACTGTGTCACCATTTACAAAAAAAAAAACGTGCACGCTTGCATATATGTTGAGGAATCCTTTCAAAATGCCAGCTTTGCTCGTGTTTACCATGTCATTAGAACTACAAAGGCCATTTAACCTTAAAACCTCACAGTTTGAGTCCCCCATCAAACATATGGGCCAGTATTTCTCCTCTGGCTAAATGACTGGATGCATCCGCGTAGATTTTCTCTTAACGAGCAGCCCTATCTGGAATCTGGTGCCCGTTAGAGGAGCACTGCAGACACACACACACACGTGCACCCAAGGACACACATACATATATACGCACACACATACACACATCTAAGGCTGAGATTACAAAAGCCTTTGTCTGTGCGCTCGGCGCAGAGGAGAGACCTGGGAATGATTAGTGTTTAGAGGCTCAGGATTTTACTGATGTATGTAGAAACTCTCAAAGGTGAGTTTTTTCTTCTAATTTAAACACAATCACTAAATTCCCCCACTGCCGCCCCACCCCAAGTATTCAGTGTCACGCCACAGACGCTGGAATGCCTTGTGATCATGGAGCACTTGTTGCACTCAGACATGAAACATCAAAGATGTTTTTTTTTCTTTATTATTTCCATCAGATTCCGAACAAAAGTTAATTCAGACATATTGCCTACATATTTTTATTTTTTTGGTTTTCCAAGAAACCACTTATTAACATAAATCAGTTTAGATTCATGAAAGCCATCAACACTGCTGATTTTTATTCCTCCCGTTCAGACGTGCATTGAAAGGTGCGAACGGCATTTGTGAGACTGGAGAATTTACAGCGTTTCTCTGTCTGTTTCGAATTGATGCAACCCTCCCAGAGCTCATGTTGTCCTTGCTTGCTATCCAAGTATTAATCAATTCCATTTCACTTAATGTTTTCGCTTTAAAGTCACTGCCAAATGATTGTTAAGTTAGCACAAAGAAGTAAAAAAAAAAAAAAAACTAAAATAATTAATTCCACAGAGAAGCGAGAAGCCATTAACATCCAGTTTTCAGAATCGAGAAGCTTTAAGCCCGACATCAGCCCTTTATTTACACAGTAACCAAAGCCTGTTACTACAGTAACAATTGCTCAACAGTCAGTCAGCAGGTGCACTGTGGTTTACAAAGATGAATGCATCCAGGAAATGGCAAAGGTTAATTTCCCTGCGATTTGTTTTATTGGTAACCAGCAGGTCATTAATATATATATATAGAGAAACCTGCTGAAAACCTTTTTTAGACATTTTAGATAAAAAAAAAAAAAAAAAAAAAAAAAATGTTTTTTTTCTTCATAAAATGCATCAAATTAAAACCTAATGTTTATTTTTAATGGAGTTTGAGTTTCCTAAAGCCCAGCTTAAAGCAACACCAAGGACATGTAACTTGAAAGGTTAAGCCCCTGCTAAATTAAACAGCCTCCCTCTGCGTTTTGGAATCTGATATCAGACAAATTTGAATCCGCAGATTAAGAAGTCATGGAGTTAGTCGTAAAGACGAGGACACTTTGCCTCCTCTAGATTAAATCCTACATCAGAGAAGCAAAAAATATCCTTTATCTGCTTTGCTCAGACTCCCTTAAAAACGGCACTTTGGGTCACATTACGTATTTACAATTACAGGGGTGACTTATTGAGAAGACCAACCCTCACGGAGCAACAATATATAGCAAGCACTCTAAATTAAACTGACAATCATTTAATCTCAGATTAAGCTCCAGTTTAGATCAGCAGTTACACAGTGGTAACTGGTGTTACGATAATAAATAGGCAAAATCTTGGAATTCAGTCTTTTTCTATTGGATTCAAAACTATTACATTATGTCTATCAAATACCTTTTATGTTGTATTATAGTCGTAACTAAGTTTGTTAAAGGCCAGAAAATCTTAAAGCTATATCCTGGATTAAACATGAGTTTTAAAAGTTTACATGTTGGCCTAGGGCTGAAAGATAAATCAATTTTATCCATCTATGAATTTTACCCCACCCCCAATAATCCACTCCTTGGGCTTCCATAGCTCAGAATTACATCACTTCCTGATGTGTACTAATAAAGGATAAACTGGCTCACTGTGTAAAACCAGTAGCTACAGATATTTTGTTTTATATTTTTATTTCTTGTGGGGAAACATGATAGTTTTAAATCACGTTACTCTTTAAAATAAGCTCACCTCCAAAAGTGGATTGAAATAAAAGCTAGCTTTTAAAAGTAACTTATGACTTTTGTTCATTCTTTATGATGAAACTTAAAGAAAAAAAAGAATAAAGAAAATAAAAAAGTAGATTAATCAGACTTTTTAATGAAAACATTTTAGATTAGATTTCTAATCCATATCGCTCAGCCCTAGATAGGCGCATAAGCAGAGTTTAAAATATAGAAAACATGTTTTAGCATAAGTAGAGTAAATAGTTAATAATAAACTTGCTTACTGCAAAAACCAGTCAGCAAGAAAATGAGGCCAAAATGTTGAGGCCATGCATGCTTTTCAGACAGGAACAAACCCTGGTGTGTTTTGATAAAGTTTTATCCATAAATAAAAATTGAAATATACGGAAGAGGATTAGGGCCAGTGGAAAAAAAAAAAAGTTAACTGATTTTTAAATTTTATTTCAGTTTAGTATGGGAAAAAAAGTCAGAATTCTGACTTTAATCTCAGAATTCTGACTTTATTCTCAGAATTCTGACTTTAATGTCAGAATTCTGACTGAATTCTGACAATAAAAAAAGTCAGAATTCTGACTTTTTTCCATGTTAAACTGAAATAAAATATAAAAATCAGTTACCTTTTTTTTTTTTCAGTGGCCCTAATCCTCTTCCGTAGAAATATGCTGATTATTAATGGTTGAATTATGTATGGATCTCTACCTAAGGAAACAAAAGCTTGTTTAAACTGCCAACAATTTCCTTTCAATTTCAAAAAGTTTCCGATTTAACATCCATTTCCCAAAACTCTACTTAAAATATGAGGGAAGTTTATTTTTTTCCTATTTGCAAAGTTAATCCAAACAATAGAAAAAGATATTTGGAACTGATGGCTTCAATTCATCTTGCTGGCCAGAAGCAAGTCGTCAATATTTCATCCACAAGTGAAAAAATGACAAAATAGAAAACTCAGCATCCGATTACAGCTTCTCTATAAGGGTGTGGATGAATAAAAAAAAAAGAAAAAGTAAAAGGAAGGAAAAACAAAACAGCTCCCACCTGTGTCTGGATCTCTGCCGGGACTCCTTTTTCCCCGTCGAGTCCTCCCTCTGCTGTCTTTTGTTGCGTGGATGTCGCCTTTTCTGAAGGCAGACCTCTCCTAAAGGGTGACACAAAGAGGGAAAGGAAAATTTCAAGCACAGAAAGTTACACAAAACTCGATCGTGCCACAAGCGTTGAACAAAAGGGCCCTGAACCGAACAGCTGTGGATATCAATAGCGTGTGCCACCTGAGACAAATACTCAGAAGTAAACAGAAAATACAGGAAAAGCAATCCAGAGTTTCTTTGTTAGGGAAACACATGTTGCGAGTATTGGTTCTTTTCTTGGCAAATAATGTTTGCACAGAAACAACTCGAGGCATTTAAAACGACGCGAGCCAGGACATTCACTTGTGGCTAAGTCATTGTCTATCCCAACAGGGGCAGTAATTTATCCCGTAACCCGAGTCATTTCTGTCTGCGTCTGGGATCGTCACCTGGCCACGGCTGCTCTAAAATTCACCTTTTTACACAAAAGGGACATAAGGTGCAGCTAACTTGAGAGCAGTAGCTATTCATGGGGCACCTGGTCCCAGCCCTGTTCACTGGTGACATGAATGAGCAAAGAAAGAAAAAACAAAAGTCAAAGAAACAGATCTGATGCAGCGGGTTTAAGATCCATAAATTCAACTCTCCACAGCTGTGTTGTTACATGACCTACATCCTGGTGTACTGACCTGACCCTGGCTCACTCAGCCTGGAGTTTCAAAGCGATTAAAAACTGATTCCCCTGAAACCCGACGCTAAAAACACTTCCTTTCATCGTGTCCACCGTATTTCTTTTTCCACTCATGCTAAAAGTAAACCAAATAAAAGGTAATAGTGCACACCATTAAGCCTTCTATTTATTGACCACATAAAGAGCTTGACCTTTGCAAGGTAACCATTTCCAAAAGGGCAGGTACATCTAGATCCAGAGGAAACACTGCAAACAAAGTTAACTTTGACCTTTAAATCCATCTTTCCTAGTTAAAGAAAACAGCATCACATGTAATCTCATGTTTACATTAATAATGAACGATAATGAATAATTGTAATTTCCCTCTGGGATTATAATGTCTAAGTATGTCTGATTTTGATTGAATTCCAAAATGATAAATCGATAAAAAGCTGGGCATAATCTCAATCTTAAAATCTCATTCTTAAAATAAACATTTGCAGCTTTCAGGTTATTATTTACCAGCTCCGCTAATCTAGGGTAGAGCTAAACCAATTCAGCTTATCTGATCCAAATGCAGTTTGAAAGTTCAGATATAGTTTATTTAACTAATTTAATTTTAAGGCTGGGCAATTTATTAGAAAATTACTGTTAACATGGGGAGTGGTGGCCTAATGGTTGTGAGTTCAAAACCTCTCAAAAACTCTCACAGACTGCCACTCTGTCTCTATGAGCAAGACTGTGATTGCTCCCCGGTTGCTACACGATGGAAGCCCACTGCTCCCCAAGGGGATGGGTTAAATGCAGAGGTAAATTTCTCCAATATGAGATCAATTAAGTTCAATTATTATTAAAAAAATATTACAAAAGGAGGGTTTTAAAGTCTAAAGGAGATCTATAAACAGTGGAATTGCTGAATAAAGGTTGATAATCATAGCCTTCTTTTAATGTCACAGAGATCTCCAAAACTTTAAAACCATAGCCAAAATGGACTAAAAGAGAAAATGAAATATTAGCCAATATACCAGCAGGCCGGCTAAATGTACATGATGCTGATATTTAACTTTTTTGCCTATTTAGAAACTGATTTTCAATGTTTTCTCAACTGTTTTATGTCTATTCTCCAAATAGGCCAATTAACCTATATTCTAGATGACGTAGCTTCAAAAGAGAGTTTGCTCACTTGGATTGTACTCAGAAGCATCAGACTATGAGGAAAAGGTAAGCAAAGCATGAAACGTCTTTGCAGATCTTCATCAATAAAATATTTTATAGTCTAAACACAGTTTTATAAGCTGGATGCCTTTTCCTTTCATCTCATGACCTCACTCTATGCTACGTGTTAGTCTTTACCACTCAGAATCCAAATAAAACACACTGAAGATAGTTTTAAAATGAAGAAATGTGAAAACGTTCAAGAGGTTTAATCAGGAAGTGCCAATGACATGATATTGCCCCCTACTGGTACGCTGTGAACTCCCAGTGCCTCTCTGTGTGGTTTAAAACCAAAACCACTGACAGACCATAAGAAGACAGACACAATAAGTTATGTTTCCAGTTTTCTATACCTCTTCTCAGATGTGGGATTCCTCCCCAATGCCCTGCCTGAAGCGAGTGATGAGCTGAATTATGTCGAACACCCCCCCCCCCCAATCCTACAGCTGGTTTAGAGTGTAGTTAACATCTACGCTCCTGACCAACTGCCAGACATGTCTGACCTTACAAGGCCCGGGACATCCAGCACTGACGGACTGAAGCGAGTTGGAACAGTTTACCGACTCCCAGCCGCTCCAGATGTTTGTGGGAGCAGAAACGTTCGCTGTTCATTTGGTGTGCAGGTGCTCCACATCTCCTCTCCAGCTGCTGGCGTGGAAAAGAACAAGGGGGTTGGGTATTAAAATATTCTTGGTGTGTATGTTCAGCCATATGGCTTACACTTTCGTCTGTTCTGACAGCCAAACACGATCTTGAAGCCAATTTCTGGCCTGAGATTAAGGCCCGGCACAACGACCAAAGACAAACAAGCAGTCTGCAAAGCTACTACTAAACTTGTGCAGCTGACAGATGAAGGTGAGGGGGGGGGGGAAGGTTTAATTTTAAACAAAAAAAAAAAAACTCCCATTAAAGTACCATGCGGAATGGTTTCACAGTTTTGCCTGCTTGGTTTCACATCATTACAACATTTGCAGCCCTCATCGTCTTCAAAGGAACGGGGAGTTACAGTAAATCAGGATGACAACGTGTTGGTATGTATGCCAAGTGCCAACTATTGAGTAAACCATTTTTATTCTACACAAAGGGAAAATGCAATTAATTAGAGGGCTTTCAAGTCTTCAAAGTAGGGGGAGGGGGGGTGGGGTTTGCTGTAGCGAGCTGTGGATGCGATTCCCTGTTGCTTCGTGAGGATATGACTAAAATTCAGTCACCCCAGGCTGTGTAATTTTGCTATTACAGGATTGCTTTGTTTGCTTTTATTAACACCACTCCCAACTGCTTGTCTGCTTTTAACATCAGATTGTCTCCACATTTATGGTGACTAAAGAAAACAAGTAGAGTCTTCTTTACATATTTCTCCACAAAATATCCATCCTGGTTGCAGCACAAAAGGATGAAACCCAATAGTCCTCAAGAATGCAAGGTTACACAGTTGAGGAGGTGAAACCGAGGGCTGATGGCTGATGTTGCATGTCGGGTGCCCATCACCGCTGTGCAGGCATTACTAACCGCACCGGCATGCATCCTCCTGAGAACTGACTGCTCTTGATACTCCTGTGATTCGAGTGCTCAAATTCGACGATGACAGTGTGTTTTCTTTTATAACATCACGCACACACGCACACAAAAAAAGGGTGTCTCAACCGCCTCTCTCAGGGCGGCCATGTGTTTCGAACCATAACCCCAGTTATCCAATAACAGCGTCCGTAGAGTATGGAGTTCAACCTGAGGGAAATGTAGCCTGTCAGCAGCCAATCATCCGTCTGATTGTTGCAACACTCGCTGGCGGAGAGTTAACACGCTTCAATGCATCGAGAATTTATTATTTCGGTTGATGTTTGCGATGACTCTGGGCGCAATCTGTCTGCGCCATCTGCCTGTCAGGACGATTCAGGCTTTATGAATTTGTAGTCTCATATCATGGATGTTTTAACCTCCAATTGTGCTTTTAGGACTGAGCTAATTTCTCTCTGGTATGACATCCGAGTCCGCAATCATGATACTTGCTGTTTTAACGATCGGGCACGGATCACAATCAAAGAGAGTCACAGCCCACCCGGGTGCCTTGCAGTTTGCACGCTGGTGAAGACTTCTGAGTTTGATTCCCATCAAACTAGCTTTTTTTTTTAATAGCCATTTACCAGACTCCAGATGTTTCAGCATGTGCTCTCTTTGAGACTTTGAAGGCACAGATCAGAGCACAGAATTATTTCATATAATAGAAGCCCTGAGAAGAAAACATTGACTGTGTTAACACGATCAAATAATCCTTAGATCATATTTTAATACATTTCTCTCGCTGATGTCAGGTGGATAAAGGTGCTACGTGCTCAACCCCCACAACTCACTGCCATCATGCATTTTAAAAGTTATACACACATGGAAGGAGGTTGTTTTATTTTTTACTGTTGGGAACTGAGCAGATCTGTAAGACAGCTGGGATTTACTGCCTTGCTCAAGGGCATCCCCAACTGTGCGGTGGAGGTGAGGAGCGTTTAGCTCACTTCCCAGACCTGGATAATAAGGAGGGCTCATCTGCTCGGCTTAAGAGATCAACTGGAAGGATTTGGTAAAACTGTGAAGTTTTTAAGTGGTTCTTAAGTTTTACCTGCTCTCTCCGGAAATGGATGCTTAATTTTACGGCCGTTTATAAGAAATGCTCTAAAAGGTCCGAGTTCTTTCATTCCCGTAACCATCTGTTAGAGAGAAATACTATCTACTGACAAGGAAAGCAGGGAAAAAAAAGCTTCAAATAGATTTTTATTTCAGCTAATTCTACTGGATAGGATTTGCATTTATCATCATCATTAGTTCCATTTGTGCTTATACAACCCAGATTTTTTTCTGGAAGACCCATTACTGGCTGCTTTCTTCAGATCAGATGTGCATCTGCTGATTTCCTCTCCAAACCGACAGACTTACAACAAACAGAGGGCCTCAAAGCATCTACTCTAAGAGCAGGCAACAGGTTACGGCTGACGATGAGCAAATGGGCAATAAAGAGTAAATCACTGCTTTTATAAACATGGCTTCAGTTTAAAGAAATGCCCTTCTATTGATTTTAAGCCCTGCAGTGCTATTTCTTCCTTTTTTCATCATCCAAACCATTTCCCCCTTCTTAAGATTTAAGCAACTATTCTGGCTACGGGTCATTTTGGCCATTGGCCGGTTCATTCCCACATGTTGCCTTATTTTCTTCTCTTTCTCACACTTTTTAATAATGAACTTAAACTTTTGCATGTCAAATGAATTCTATTACTACATATGCATTTTATTACATTTATAGGAAAATTAAAGAAAAAAAATCAATAACTTAAACAAAATATTGCTCAATATTTCCTCATTTGGGACGTTATGAACTCTGATCAAACCAAACAACAGTCGGTTCGTTTCAGGGGTGACAATAGGCAGAGATTCTACTTAAAGTACCTGAAATCACTAGAAAAGTGGAAAGGAAATGTCCTCAATGGAGGTACTACTTTGCTTCAAACCTTACATTAGAGAAAACTACTTTACCAACGTTTTTAATAATGAAAGTACCATTTCATTTGATTAGTTTAGTATTTTTTTTTTAGAAATTATGGAGAATTATGGAAGAAAACTGCTGGTGCTCATCTCTAGCTCTCTTTGGACAGCTGGGAAGGATATACCTAGGAAGGCAAAGCAAAACTAACAACCTTTCATGCATAATAATATATTTCTATATTGATTTATAATTCATGCCTAGTTATATGAAAGTAAAGTATTAATCTGAACGCCTTCTCCTTCTGTCTCCTCATTTCATCTCTGTCTGCACAAACAGAAAGGTCATCAGTGCCAGACAGAAAGCGGAACGTCAGAAAGAATTAAAAACTAAAAGAAAAAAGACATTTTCAGGGAATATACAAATGAATCAAATGATAGGTGACGACTGATTTAATCACCACAATCAATTAACATACCTGACCCAAAGAAAAAGAAAATACCAGTTAATCTTAGGAGAGAAGTACAAAATAGTTCATTTGCAAGAGTGAAAATCTTTAAATAGGACAAATACAACCCATTTCACTTTAATCTGTTTAAGTGTAAAAGTATTGTTTCAAGTAGAGATGAACCGATATCTGGATCGGATATCGGCACCGATATTGACTAATTAGCTTAACTGAATATCGATGACTTGATATCGGAGCTCCAATCCATTGCACTTCACTTATAACTGTTATTTCTTAATTTGCTGCCCATTTTTAATAAATAATATGAAGTATTTTTTTTATATAAAGTGGTTTTTTGTTACTTTTTTTAAAAATATTTGTGTCCAGGCTAAAGCCTTCACTCACATGACAAGGTTTATGGTTCATTCACACAACAGCTGAATCGGATCGCTATAGGATAGCGCCAATAGGCTCGGCCCGGGTATCGTATCGAATTGGATCGAAAAAAACTGGATTGCTGCATCTTTAATTTCAAGTTATTTGATTTTATTCAAGTAACTGCAAGACAAAAAGAAAATGTCCCCATTTTTTTCCTTTTGGGAACCAGATATTGTTTTCTGCAAAGCAATTAGTCTAAAAATCAATCAGACAGTCACTTTAAATTGCATCCAAATCCGTTTCACCATCACGAGGTAATCCAATAAACATAGCTTTCCTCAAAACAGTTTATACACAAAGAAAAAGGGGATTCAGGGTTCGCAGCTTGGAAAGATTTTAGTACCACTTGTTTCAAGTTGGTCAGATGGGAGGCACGTTTGGATTGTTCTGCTACTTGTCCGTATACCTGCATGTCACATCAGATCCAAACCCTTCCTGCAGAAAGAGCCTTAGATGAAAACCTGAGTGAAGAAACATTTTTTTTTTTGCAGGCAAAAAAAATGATTCTTCAAAGGAATGGCCTGTAAAAAAAGAAAAAAAAAAACGACTAACAAGTGCGGCATCTGCGCCTCAATGCCACATGCTCCTGTTTCTCCAACTATGTAAACTGTGGGATGTGTAATCAGAGTTGTTTAATGCAGACATCTGGCACGGACAGCATCACAGCGCTGTTAAATATTTACAGCTGGGCCACAGCCTTTCGCCTCATGAAGCATCACCATCTGGGCTGAATACCAGGCCCGTCTCACTTGGCTGCAGCCGGGGAAACCGCCAATATCTAAAATAAGCCAAGAAATGGGGACAGCTAAATAAATAGGCTGACTTTAAGAGATGAGGGAGAGAAATCCCAATACAGGCAATGGATTGCATTAATGTTTCCTACAGAGAAATAAATGTGCGCTCGCTGAAAAACTGAAATTCCTCAGGGTGACTCTGTTGACAGCTCTGCACAACTCAGTGTCCCAGCCAATGTCCCACACTGAGGATCATTTTCTCCTGTGCAAAAAAGCTTACACAACCGCTGACAAATGAGGAGAAGTGAGACAGCATTGCGAAGTTGATAGGTGCAACTTGGCCCTTTTTGTGCTGATCAAATTAGGGCCTGGATGGGGGCATTGGGGTTGGGAGGGGAGGGTCTGTTTGCCAAAGCCACAGACTACACAATAAGTGTTCAATCAAGCCGCTGCCAGAAGGGAAAACACATGTGAGAAGGAGACTGGCTCTGCTCCAAGTACCAAGTGCCCCCCATCTAAGTCCTGATGAATTTACATCAGCCCTTGGGGCTTTGCACCTGCTGGGGATCCAGTCAATGTGCAGTCCACCTGTTCTAACACACTCACTGACCTGCCTGTGTGGCTCCAGCTGGGCAGAACTCAGCATCTACCTGTTTCTCTGTCACCACAGGGAAGAAGTGAAAAAAATTTGAATAATAAATCAATTAAGATGTTTAGATCAATAAGTTTATTACAATATATATCCAAAGGGAGAAGCTTCAGAGATGCAAGAAGGATGGGGTTACCTGATGGGCTGAAATTTGAGAAAATTACAGTTAAATGTTTTCTGAAATACCTGACAGAGGGAACTTTCCTGACAATTCAAGACTGAGCAAACAGACACACAACAGGAGCAATTACTGAAAAGTTTCCTAATTCTCATTGGATGTTTTCTCTTTACCTCTCGGTCCTCCTCAGTGCGCCTGGGCTCCACTTGCGGGTGACCGGGTGGGAGAACCCCCATCGGTTCAGCCAGGTCCACCCCAGAGGTTGTTACTATAGACTCCCTTTTCTGGTGGGTTATTTCCCTTTTCACCTCGGAGCGCAGGTCCAGATAGCAGATCAGGGTGACTGCGTGCAGAGTGAGCGACAGCAGGAATAATCCAAGGAAGACAGCGCTGCCGCTCCGACCCCTACACTTCTTGCCGCACATGCAGGGAGCCCCCCTGGGCATCAGCGTATCGGGGAAGTCCTCCGCGGGTGAAGCGTCATCGCATGCCATTATCGGAGGGAGCGCGGCTCATATGCTCCTTATCTCGGCATAATCAGCTCGTCTGGAGGCGCGTTGTGCCGGGGCTATTCATTTACGCAGAGGCTCATAGGTGCAGCAGCAGCAGGTCGGCTGCAAACTTCCAGGATCTGTAGTAACAATGAGTGCCCCGCCCACCTCGGCTGTGATTGGTCAGGAGCTCGGATTTACCCAGCCGCTCCGGGACAGAGGGTTTAAAAACGGACAGTGGTGGAGCGACACCTAACGGACAGTAGCAGGCACTGCAACACGTGTAGACGGGACCCTGAATGAAAACTAGAGAAAACAAAAGAACACCTGGGTTTAACTAAGCCAGCGGTTCTCCACTTGTTTACCACCTTGGTAAATACAACGTTTTTGTTTGATTTCTACTTTCTTCAACGTTGTCCACCCCCTGAAAGGCAATTGGATTGCAGTATAAGACCCGCAAAAGACAAATATTGATGGACAAAGATATGCTGAAATACAATTATGCATCCACAGCTCGACTGGCAATCCTTGCTTCTTATAAATAAACAAGAAATGCCCATTAAAACAGGAAAATAACATAAAAAAATATATGAATTATGTTCTATGCCTCTTACTGGCATCCAATAAGCAGCGTATAGCAAAATAACAGCATTCCTCTTTCTTTAGAGACTTAAATAATTTATTTTTTTTTAACATTATATTCAATTCCTATTTTTTGAAATTAAATAAACTGGCCTAACTTTAGCAAATTTATGGAAGTAGTAGTGGACCTGAGACACTTTAGGACTTCCATGATTAAAGATAAAAAAAAAAAAAAAAACAGAATAGAAAAAAGGTGACTAAAAGTCAGAACGTTTAGGAGGAAAATCTTAAGGTGTTTTTCACCAAAATCAACCCTAGACTATTTATATTTTATCAATATAGGCATTTAAGCTTCTCTTTTGACCTAAATAAAGGTGGTGCTTGTGCGTTTGAAAGCAAAAAAACAAAGAAAAAATGGGGCAAGAACTAATTTATGTTGATCAAAGGCAAACAGAGCTCAGCATGCATGCCAAGAAGCACCTTGTACTGGTCAGCACACTCGAGTATCTTTTTTCAATTTTTGTTAGTGATGCATACTAAAGTTGACATCTTCTCCAAAAAGTCTGAACACCAAGCTAACCTCTGCTTTGAAATGGGTCAATCTAAAAAATGTGGAAAAAACATCACAAACACTTAACCAATAGCTATTTGATTGTTCTTTAAAGAGACATAGCCACTACAAAAAAATATTAAAAACCTTTGATCCTGATAAAATAAAGGTAAACACCAAGTCTCTACAAGATGCAAAGTTTTTATAGTCCTTTGTCAACCTTTAAATTACAGCTTGTAATAATCACGGGGATTTACTAACATATATTATGTATGGTATTTATTATCATCTATGAAATTAAAGTCTCAATATTTATTATAGGCTTGCCTGAGAAATTGCTATTTCTAATTAAAAGAGGAGTCGGTTCACATTTGTGGAGGTAGAGATATTTTGCTCTACGATTGCGCAGCTGACAAACTAGTCACTATAGAGATCACCATTAGGCCTACATACAGTACAATCCAACACAGACTAAGGAAATACTATTTATGAATTTATCAATATAAACTAGACTCACAACTTTCTTCTGCCCTCAGTCCAATTTTGTTTCAGCCAGAGTGCACAAATCAGGGGGAAGAATCACCTGATAAGGTCACAAGATAGGGGGAGAGCGTTTCTGAGCTCAGACAGGAGCAGAGGGGAATCAGTTTGAGAACAGCCGCTCAGGAAGAGCTCCAGAACACGGACGAGCCGGCCAGCAACGCCGCTCTCTGTGCCTAAGGAACAACAGCAGTAGACTCAATGTGATAACCTGGGTTTCCTCTGACAAAAAACTTTTAACTGCATGATCTGATTGAATTGTCTTCTGTAGAAGGCATTGAAATAACTTGTGTTGTGAATTGGTTCTATATGAAAAAAACTGAAATTAATTAAAATAAATGCACTAAGGGATATTTTAAGAACCCATATAAAAACGAAAGTGGACTACGGTGAAAGAGGAAAAGGTTCTAACAATCTATTATTGATTTGTTCCCCTTAGTTCCAACAAAAACATAGCATCTAGATTAGCCATGATCTAAGTTTAAAATCAAGTATTTGTTTTTCTGTAAGCTGATCGTTAACTGGTCATCTTCACAAACTAACCATAATATTTATTTCTCAGGGACTTTGCACATTACTCACTTTGGTAACATATCTAGGAAAACAACAACTGCAGCTATCTCTACCTTTTAACAAGTCAAAAGGCCCTGTTGGATAATGAGGTCATGTTTGTGAGAAACAACATACTTTTCAGATATAAATATTCACTTCAGGATGCAGAATTTATTATTTTTTTTTTTTTACTATCGGTGCTCCTTCAATATTCTTTTTTGTTTCTTTGACGTACCTAATAAAAAACAATATAGAAATAAAATAAGTATTTTGTTTTCTAATAATTTAAGCAGCTATTCTAATGATATTTTTTTTATTTTGCTCTCAGGACCAATTTAAGTCGGAATCATCATCTGCATACTGCATCCAACCTCTTAGTTTGGAAGAAAAAATAAATCATTAAACTCTGTGGATTTAACAAACATTGAAGGTTTTGAGATATGATTTGTTTTTAGGATGATGGAAGTCTGCTTTGATCTTGGATCCCCTTGGATTAGACACTAGGACCTCATTTCAAACATCTCAATCCATCCCTTTGAGGAGCAATCTATGTGGAAATGTAGGATTCGTTTCTCCGAACGGCATGGGAAGTCATTTTCACACATGCAATAGAGGTCACAGCATGTTTCCTTTAATCCTATCAAAATTGTGAAGGTTTTCATAAACTAGACCTTTACAGCGGTCTGACTCCACCAACATGCATTAAACAACTTGACCAAAAAAAATCCACTTTGCCACTCTGGACGGAAACAAACACAGTGACACTGTAGATTCAGACCAGTCACGGTTGTTTCCACCTGTAATCTGCAGTCCTGCACAATATTAGTGAGCACGTGGGTGGCTGCTGTACAATGTGTGGAACCTTGGGGCCGGAAAATAAATTTCGTGACTCTCTTTCAGTGACGTGAATACGAACAGAGTTGGGTGGTCACTGATGTAATGCGTATTGTTTATGCATGTGTTTTAGGGGACTGGGCATGCTATTTTTCACTAGTGGACTTTGTTTAGAGCTGTGGTTTTTTATGTTTGTGGCAGCTCATGGACTGATGTTCCTCTGTAAATACTGGGTGGTGTTATAGAAAAAAAGGGGCCTTGCATTTCAGGATTGTGTTATTATCATAGAGTGAAAGAGTGCAGCAAATGCTGTAAACAGATTTGGAGGAAAAAAAATGAAATAGGATTTTAAAACGACATTACCACATTTTACTGTCAGGCTGTATGAAGAGCCCTGGAGGAGAGACGGTGTCACAATGAGGTCAGAGGCACAATCAAATGCACTGAGCATGTGTCACTCAGCTGGGTGAAGGGAGTGGTGTGACATTTATGTTACCCAAGTGGTGGCTGACAACAATTCCTTTACAAGATTAAATGTGGCTTTGAGGTTCCCATGTTCCCAAAACTCTCAAGCTGAGCCATTTTTTTTTACTGATGCTGAAACTTTGATCTGTTAGAAAAGGAACTAAAGCAATACTTGCACATTGGACTTGTCCTTGAGCTTCACAATGATGAAACCGGCAGGCTAATCAGGCCTGAAACTTGGGCTGCTGATGGATCACCACCTTAGATTAGTTTTTCGGGCATGTGCCACGACACATTTGTCTTTATTTTGGTAGGACAAAACCTGACATTTACGTGCGTTTGACCTACATAGAGGTACGCTCCTTCATAGTAAGAGCTCCAACCGACAGACACTGAAGAATTGCTGGATTTCGCTTCATATTGCAAAGAAGAAAATAATGGAGAGGAATGACTTTTGGAAACCAGAAGGAGGGGATGTCGTCACTGTGAAATGTTTTCACAATATGAGACTTGTTGAAGTGGAAAAAAGGGATTTGAAATTACATATTTATTCTGGTTTATTCTCTTCCATATTTTACTTTCCACAAGCACAAACAGCTTTAATCAAAGGAGAAGACGTTATTCTTGTCAGCTGCCACTGAAGGGCAGCATTGCCAAGCTATAAATCATAATGAATGCATTCCTCTGTCCTGATCAAGTTAGAAAAGCAGCTTTACATTACTTATATAACAAAATCTATTATCATATTTCATTTGTTATGGTTTATAGGCTCTCGGTGGAATATTGATCTGAAATCAAGTCTTCGTGTCTTTCTGTGCAACGAAGTCACCCCTCCCTTTGTGAGTTAAGAAGACAGAGAAAATAAAGTGAGAGAGAAATAAATATTCAAAGTAACCCTTATAGGGTCTGTGGATAAGCCTAAGCGGGTTTTCCATGCTTCTCATTCAAGCAGACGTCACAATGACTGAGAGGCAGAAGATTCAGGGCTGAAAAAGTTAAGGGTGTGCACTTTTTAAAAAAAATATCTCCCATTCCTTGGTGTAGTCAAGTTAATTTTCAGTATATACTCCAATTGTCATTTGAAGAGCTGCATCTCTTTTGTCAGATTGAATTAGTTTGTTTTGGTAAATCAGAGGCTGAGCTGAAGGTCAGAGAAGGCATGGCTGAGCCTGATCTGCTGTCTTGTTACAGACAACACGCCACAACAACATTAAACCCTGTAACAAATGACCGCCACTCCTGCTGTGGTTTCTTGTTGTTTGGTCTTAAAAAGAGCAGAAATAATTCTTAAAATGTACCCAGGGCTTCTATGCAGCGTTCATAAACGCTGAGCCACTCTATCCCCTCTGAGCTTATAACAAGATTTAGAGGCTCTCTGTGCCAGATGATAGAAGTTTTCAGGATGAATAGGTGCTCTTATATACCAGCCGAGGAGAAGTGGCGGACTGCTTAAAGATGATGGCTCCTTGGTCTTACAGAAAAAATGTGGCTCCATGTAATTTCTTCTTTATTCGTACTTGAACTGGCAAAAGAACAAATTTAAACTCAATTCTAAATTTCAGTTAAGGTAGCGCATTTAGACGTAAGTGATTTTTTTTTAGCTGG